CAAGTGAAGCTTAGAAGGTTAAAGATCCATGAAGACATGTTGTTAAGATACCCTATCCTACCAGCATATCAATAGTTACAAATGTATCAGTTGCAGAAAATGTCACCATATGTCACTTTATCACTGTCATTACAAATATTAAGGCACAAAAAAAGCGATAATTTATGACAGAAAGGGGGGTGAACCAGACCTCCTTTTATTAAATCACCCAATGTCACCAACACTAAAACACCTAGTAAAGGAGCGTGTGAGAGTGTCATTGAGCTGGGCCAAGTAACACAGGTATGTGTTGTGTTGACACAATACTTCACTTTCCTTGCCCTTGTTTTATGGTGGATTGTGCACCTTACATACCTTATATGTTAGTGTGCAGAGGGTCAAGTGGTTGCCCTGTCTTAACTCTCAGCTATGCTGACTGAGGGTGGAGGACAACGATTAACTCCTTAATTTGATAAGGGTGGGGAATTTTTTTTTTACTTATACACAATCTTCACACCTTAAATATATATCGATAAAATCCAACAATGCACAGGCTACATTTGTTTTGAGAGTCAGCATATATGTAGAGTGTGGCTGATCGAGAACTTCTTTATAGGTTATATTACTTATAGAGTGGATGTTGATTATTTTGAGGTCAGATATAAGATTAAGGTGTGGAGGTAATGTTAGGGAACACAGGGTAGGCTTGGTGGACAGGTACTTGTAATATTTCATAGAAACTAAACTAGAAAATATCAGTACAATATCCAGTACTTGTTCAAATACAAGATGCAGAATTTTCAACTTGACAGACATAACTTAAAATAAGGGCTATTTGTTTAACGCCAAGAGGTTGAATTCTTATTGGATGAAAATTTTATCTTAATGACGTTTTCTTTTAGGTATGAATCACAATCATGGATATTATATATATAGAATGACAAACTGTATACAAAGCCATCACCTTTGGATGGATGAGAACAGGATAATTTCTATAACATTTTCTCTGAAATATTTACAACACAACAGCACGATGTTACACTTCAAGGAAAGACTGATGGAGGATTATTGTACATGTTGCTGAACTTTATTAATTGATCGCTGAAACTACAACCTCTTGGTCAGACAGACAATGTTTCAGTCAGTGACATCGACAGGATTTGGGCGGCGTGGACGGTCCATGTCCCTGGTCAACTTGCCGGCCTATCCTACCCAGGCCTGGCCTGACAATTCACCTGGTAAATATATCAAGTTTAGAGCACAGAATTTCATCTGAGCGCTGTTTTTTCACTCAAAGATACAATAATAAGCTCTTCTATCAACAGCTAAAACTAAGAGTTTACCATTACCATAGTTACTCCAATATTTCAGTGTCCTTCTAATTGTGTTCCCAGGTAGAGGTGACACCTATAGCCTTAATTATTCCCTAATGAAGGTACCTTGTGATATTGGATTGGTAATGATTTTGATTTTTAGATGTTGTTAGAAGAACTTATCAACATTGTCACATCAAGGATAGAAAATTTGTCTAGGAACTATTTGATCTTAGATGTGAATAGTTACTGCAATTTGCTATTACTGTATAATTTGTATGACCCTGCAGTAAACTTTAAGATGTTTTTTACCAGGTTTGCTGGGAGAGAGGAGAAATGCTTTTTCAGGATTAATGATAAATTTTGAGAGGAATTATTATTCCTTAAAATATTTATTCTTAATGATATTTCTTTTTTTAGGTCCTTCGAATCCATTATATTTTAGTACAGATGACTTTTCAAAATTTTGACTTTTCAGCATTTGAATATTACATGTATATATCTATCTAATAAATTATCACCTCTGAGAGAGCATAACTTTATATATTTATATTATTTTCAGAAATATTTTCAGGTAATATCATCATGATATCTTCATGTGGTAGTTTTGACATTAAGCTGTCCTCATGTGAAGCACTTACTGCTGGCCCCAGGTTCACAAAAAAAAAAAAAAAAAACTTATGAAGTCAGTTCCTGGCTTAGTTGAGCTAAGTACCTTTATTTTGAATAAAATTAGGGCGCAGTCTGACAAAAGTTGCAATTAGAGCAGAAAATGATATGAGGTACACTTGTGCATGTTGTGACTCTATATGGAATAGAGCAGGATAGAGCCTTTTGTTTTCTGTTCAAACCATGCAGAGAGAGAGAGGAGAGAGAGAAGGGGAGAAAGAGAGAGAGAGAGAGAGAGAGAGAAGGAAAGAAAGAGAGAAGAGAGACAGAAATGGAGAGTGTAAATCTGTGCACAGTAATAAACATTTTGATTTCCACCTTGGTTAAGTGAGTTGTCACTCTCCCCTATAAAGCAGTTGTAAATGTATTTTTTATGGGCAAGTTTAATAGTCCTAGGATCAAAGGTACCATCTGTGTCCGTCAAGGACTGATGCCTTGTTCTATACTTAGTCTATGCATGGCCTGTGATGACTTTATAGCACTTAGTTGGAGGCATGTTTGTAGGTAACGTTCCATTTTTTGAATGAGATATTTGCTAATTTTGCTGTGCAAATTTGTCACAGTAAAGTACTTCGATGTGGTGTGTGATATTCATATTTTGGCCATGGCATGCATGAATATCAATCTGAATAGCTGTAACATGAAGATAAGCAACACTTCAGTCACCTTCAGTTTTTTTATAATAATTATGTTAAATACCATATAAATTTAAACTGACTTGACATGCTAGTAGGTACGTCTCAGCTAATTGAAGGCCACAGACTTATTCAAGTCAGAGATGTGTATAAAAAATACTTAAGATTCTTCGTATGACGAGATACTAATTTTTGGCTGTCACTGCTGAAGTTAAAGTTACCGTGTTTTAATTATCATTTTTGTGTCATGAGAAAGTGAAAAAATTACTAATCAAGATTTTTACAACTCTACTATGATTGAAACATAGAGCTTTACCCCCAAGGAACAGCAATTTTAAATGTAGAGGGAGAGATAGTGTCCAGTATGACCAGTCCGCGAGTTAATCCCCCTACAGCACTGTGACAATATCCTCTGCTGTAACAGCCCTGATACTGTATTCTATTGTGTGCATAGTAACAGTCCAGTATTGACACTGACCAGTTCATAATTGGTGTGTTAGCACTTGAGTGACCATATCTTATCTCCAAGTGTGTGTCCATAATGTGGCCATTATTGGTCACTGTGGATTTGCTGTGTGGAGATTGCTATCCCTTTGTGATTGGTGGTCAGGTGATTGATGTCTGTGAATTTATAGTTGCTAGAAATTAATGAAAGAGAGAGAGTGAAATAGTGAGAAATGATTGGAAGGAGAGAGAGAGAGAGGGACGAAATATGGCCATGGTCAGGACTTCACATCTTCAATCTCACAACTGCCACATACAGGTAGAACTGCGACCTCCAATGTGGCCTTAATAATGATTTTATTAACAATATAATGGATACAGGTGATAGATACAAACAAATTGCAAAAAGAAGGGGAAACTTATGATTATTGATATAAAAAGTATTGGTAAAAGGAAGCTCCAAACCATACAACTATATGATGAAAAAGTATCACCTTCATTCTTGTGGAATGATATTTATTTACCCAAAACCATGCAACGCTATTCACACTCGAAGAAATATTTGCTCAATCTGAATACATTGTGATGTAAGCTTAGAGGTATTCATTACTCCAATAACACTGATCCATTGAACCTGAGATTACAGCCGGGATTCACAATATAGTGTTGTAATAGTCTGTGAATTCCTCTCTTGACTTTGGTGAAGGATTCAGGAGAGTGTGCTAATATTGACAGTATGAGAGTATCCATCTGAAATACCAGAGAGAGAGAGAGAGGGAGAGGTGGGGGGATGGTGTTACTGAAATGTAGGTAAAGTTGTCTGGAGGAATAATGGGAGAAAATGTATGTGTGAGAGAGGGAGAGGGCTTTACCAGGGAAACTTGTCATTTTTGATCTACATACATTAGCGAACAAATATTGACAATATGTCGCAATCTGATTATAAATCACAAGGAATGTGTTTGGGGGACATGTTTTAGATGCTTGGATAACAATAGCAACCCAAGCATTGTGTTGGTAGATATTGTTGTTGTGGAGTAATAATATGTTAACCTATGTGATTCCCCAAGCTCATGAAAAAACTTATATGGTACTATCAGTATTGTTTATGGGGGGGGGGGGGGGGGCTCTGTTTAGGTGGTATGTGTTAGCCAGTTTATCTCTTAAAATTGAGCAGATCAGAAAACTGCAATGTTCATGTGAAAAGTTGTGCTACAATTAACTTATAAAACTGTAGTGTTGCTGTACATTTGGAGAGAAGACATGCAAGCATTGTGTTTATACTGTGAGATTGCTGCCCACTGTCTCACCTAACACACTCCATTTGGGCCAACTGTTTTCTCTTCAGAGAAAATACCCACTATGTTATCTCTAAAACAATTTCTATGTATGTTTATGTATCAATTAATAATTTAATATCCTAATTTTTTTGTTATATTTATATCTTTCTTGTTTACAGAAACGACATCTCATCTGTTTCTTTTTCTTTCAGGAAATTCTGAGATATCTGTCTGATAAATTGTTTTATTTTCTTCACATTGGGTTATGTTACTTGCCATTTATATGTATGTGGTTCATTGAACAAATGTTTTGACACTGTTTTAAATGCATTCTTCTAAAAGAATTTTTCAGTTGCTAATGATTGTCACTGCTTATAAAAGATAACTTGTCTGATATCAAAGCTTAGATTGAAACTGCAGTCTGTTTTTTAAAGCAAAAATATTCAATATGTTAATTATTCTGTCAGTATTTTCATACAAATTAATGTATAATAATAATACAAGAATACTAAATTAAAACATTTGATAATGTGATTAAATACAGCATCATACATTAAATTGTCATGTGCTACACACTTTTGAATAAAAGGTAAATCATACAACATTTAATATCCACAGTATTGTATTTATAACACCATCTTTAAATATTCCTAGTAATGTGTTCCAATGTCTTCCTTTAGCAAAAGATGGAGACAGTCCATTCATTCCGCGGTCATCAATACCAACGAAGCTGGCTTCCAAGACGAGGTCATTGGATAAGGCGAGGGATAAAGTGAAACCAGGCGGGGTAAGTTTTGTAGCCTGTGTATTAGAGCCGATGTTGGCAAACATCTTCATTTTCAGTTTACATAGTTGCTTGCTTGTCACGTCTACATTATAATTGGAACTGATTGAAGTTTATCTTGCTATGTTCTAAAAAGGCTACATAGTCTAATAGTTGGGTCTGTGAACTGTGTCACATGCCTTTTTATGTAACCATGAAATTTATACAACCAAATGGGCGTTTCTGATTTACAGTGCTGTATGTACTTTTTTAAAGGGACACTATAGGTTCATATCAGTTTATATTGTACTGTATGTATTATATGGAAGATTAGAATGTAACAACCTCTGTTCTGTATAGAACACATGGCTCACAGTGGCAGCTGGGAAGCCATTTAAATCATTATAATAAATTATACATTGATCAGGCCCCGGTTTCACAAAAAAACGTAAGTCAGGTTCCCTGGCTAGCTAAGAACTTAATTACCAAGGTTACGTGATCACATGGGCACATCTTATCCTATCAGAAGAAGTGTAACAGCACTCTCATGGAAGCCCTAGTCAACTAAGGCCCCATTCAGATTAGGGGACTAACTAGTCTGAGGGTCAAATATGGTGACCTACTACAAAGCTTGCCTTCTAATCCGCTAATAGACACTAAATAGATATCCTGTGGGTTAGCATTCAAGTGGGTCGGCCATATTTGACCCTCGGACTAGTTAGTCCCCTATTCTGAATGGGACCTAAGCCAGGGAACTGACTTAAGTTTTTTTTTGTGAAATTGGGGCTAGGGCTAAGTATTGGGTGTCCAGTGTGGACACATAAGTGGGGTTTAGACAATATGGTTACTATAAGGAAGATGATGGAAGAGTACTTTACTTTGGAATCAGTTTTCTGGATTTGGGGGAGGAGAAAAAAACACCCAGTGGACCAGCCCCCAACCCATTCCCAGGTATCTTTGACCTGCTTGTATTATACATAGCAGGGGCACCTGTTAGGAAAACATGAAGTCAAGGCTGTGGAACCTGTTATAGACACCTAGGGCCCCATAACATGGACTGTTAATCTATTATACAAGTCAGTTCCACAGCTGTGTTAATTAGATATGGATGATAAATCAAATGTGGGTGGCTCATATCTGAATACATGCAAAAAATAAAAAAGAAACATTGTTTAGTTGTAGGTTGTGGCGACGGCTTTGCATAATGAAGTGAATTAGGAGGTTTATGTAATGAACTATTCAAGTTAATGTCTTTGTCAACTTTAAAGGCATTCTTAATTGAAATGTTTCTTCGGAGATAATGTCAGAAATTCTGGAAATGACAAACAATTTTCAAAACTTGATCAACTTGGGAAACAATGCAGGGGCGGATTTAGGCCGTCTTCTGGGTCTTCCGGAAGACAGTCAGATTTTCAAGTTTACATAGACGGGTATCTATTTTTTTCTGTCGGAAGATGGTCAAAAATTGGAGGTTGGCTCAACAAAGATAATTTGGAAGACTGTCAGAAAAAATCTCTGGATCCGCCCCTGCAATGGCAGCCGTTGGAATTGAGAGGAACCTATTACCACAGCTCAGATTATAGACAGATTTTAGGGAATTTGTAAAAATTGAGGTTCATTAAGGAGGAATAATGCCTTCACAGGAATGAAGAAAAGTGAAGCCAAAACAGCCTAGCAGTAACCAACTCTGAAAGAAAACCTTTTTTACGGATGATGGTTGGTTTTTTTAACGATGAGGGTTGAAGCTGATAGTCAGTGTTGACTCACTCGATGATGGCGTGGTTTACAAGATATTAAACAGTTTCTTTGTGAATCAGTGGCAGAGTGACCAGTGGTCAGTTTGGAGGATCAAAGAAAACACCTGTGGTCAAAATAGCTATCCAGTTATTCATTTGTTGTGAAATGAGAACTTATGTTCAGGACAAGCTTAAATGAAGCACACGGATAGATTCTTTCATTTTATTGCTGTTTACAAAGAAATAAACTGTAGACATTATTTGTTCATTAAATGTGCTTTTTAGATACCCAGTGGTCAGCTGGAGGTGGAAAAAAATTTAAATTATTGTTCTTTTGGGATCTGTATTTTGTTCTGTATGGGACAGAACCACTTTGAACAGCTATTAATCAGGTGTAGCTGAGATACTGATTTTATTTTGATTTTAAAAAAGTTTAACTGAATATACCACTGTACAGGCATTCTGGGGAAAAAACTCACTTTTTCACTTCAAAAATGTTTTGACAAATAAGTTTTATATTTCTTTGAAAGACTTCAAAATTTTCTCTGCCATATGGATGCTTGCCAGTATGTTTACAGATGACACCCACTCATAATAATAAACTCGGATCAAGTACGAAAAGCTATGAAGTAATAGCAAATAAGACGATGTGTCATTAACAAGCCTCCAATTCAGTTGGTTGTCTTCTTTTGGCGAAAAGTGGCAGCTGGCGGACAATAATCGACTGTAATCTTCCACACCAAATGGCAGCTGGAGACAGTCAAAGCATGGTACCACCAGCTTGTCCATGTCTTATGTGGAAAAAACTCGGAGAACAAAATTCTCGTGCACTGATGGAGATTTTGTAAGAAAACTGCTGGGAGTTCACATTGGAAATTAAGCTAAGAGTATCTAATTGGGGTGTTGATTAAGTGTTTTAGCATTTAGTTGTGGTGTGGATGAAACTGCTTAATTGTAGGAAATCTATTAAAAGAGGAAACAATTATTGTTCTGACCTGCCGAGTGGCAAGGACCTGGGCCAGGTAGCTGTGCTGGTTATTCTGTTTGACACTCATACCAACATTTTATTGGTGATGGATCTAGATAAAAACAGGTTTGTCAAGGAACAGTGTTAAAATGAAGCTACAGCAGTGAGATTGATATGAGAACACTTCAGAAAGGAAATATACTATTCTTGTGTGGTGTAAAAAAATGCTAGAATGGACTGGCCTTCAAGCACAGTTTTAATGAAAGCAGCCTGACAAGGGGAGTAAGAACCTGCAGAAATGGAGCATAATGTTATCATTCTACAAAAAACAATACAAAAGTCAAACTGTTAATGAAATATTTTGCATACAGACATTAGGATGAGGGTCGTTACACAGTTGAGATGGGCAGTCCACTATTCTATAATACTAACGAAAAGTGTCACTTATCAAATAGACTACTGCTGCATGTCATATTTCTTTTGACTTAAAAAGAAAACAACAACAACATTGTCGTAATCAAGATGGAGGAGGATATTTACTTTGGGTGCTCTTTGACTTAATGGAACTTAGAACTGATGTCAGAGATAGGGAGAAAGGTTAGAAAAAAATGTTTGATGGAAGGCAAAGGGTTCAGCTGTAATGAAATTGGTCATCTGTTAAATAGCCCATTGATGAAAGATTTAAAAAATTTTTCTGCTTTTGTTTGGTAACTTGTACAGACTGAATTAGATATTTATAATTTGTCTTGGAGTTCAGTTATTAATTCCCCATTAAGTTATACAGTCACCCAGTTTACATTATACAAGTATCTTTGAATACAATTCTAGTTATTCAGTTTTACAGATCAGTGAAATTTTCTGAATCCTTTCTTCCTAGTTATTTGTAATTTATATACGTTGCATAAGTTATAGTTATAAAATGTAACATAATCACTTTTTGACAATTAAGAATAGGCAAGAGTGGGTGACAGAATTTCTATTTAAAAAAGCAGCTTATATTTCTCAGCATTACGTGAAGCGGGAACAGTCGATACGTACTCGCACTCCCCCCGTGATCCACCGCCGCTGCTCCCTGCAGACGCACACTTCACGTTGTCATGCAGTTGTGCGAGCTGAGCACCCTTTGGCAAAGCTAAACCCTTATGCCTTTAGTGAAGATGAGGAAGAAGAATTTGTGAGTTCAAAAACTACTAGTAAGCCACTGGTGTGGTTTTCAGCTTATTGGAAGTGGGATGAAAATATTGGGGAATATTGACATGTGATTCCATATTTAAAGGAAATACTGTATTTTTTTGCTTGTTTGGTGTTAGGATGTAAATATTCACATATATTTGTGATTACATCAACAAGGTTAGGGAAAGCAATCACATTGGGAATTCTGTTTGAAAACAAAATGTGGTTCATAGATGAGATCGATTTGCTTTGATATATATGACCTTGACCTTCAACAATTTTCAGCACAATATTTTTACAGCATTTGTAGCATTTTTGATGCATGATGTGATAAAGAGATGTGAATGCATTATAAAAAGTTCATGATCATTTAGCATGTGGTAAGACTATAGTTGTAAGCATGAAAGCTTGACATGACAGGCCCGTAGCCAGCAATTTCAAAAGGGGGGTTCTTTTTCTGAAAAAGTGGACCTTTTCCCATAAAAACTTCATGTACCTAGATCCAATTTTACCCAGAGTGGACCTTTTCCCAGCTAAAGGGGCGGTTCTTTCGAACCCCCCCGAACCCCCCCTGGCTACGGGCCTGTATGATGTTTACTTCTTGAGAATCTGTTCATTTAAACCCCATCTCTCTCATTTTGGCATTCAAATGATATAATGCTAGTTTTTCACAAGTTGTCTAGATCTAGGCTCTATGTATAAAATAAGAGGTCTAGACATCTTGTAGCTATATGCAGCACGAGATTACATTCTGGTTTGTCACATCTCTGGTTGCATGCTCTTTCTAAAACAAATGTGACATGAAGGCATATGTAGAACGACACAAATATTTGCCATCTAAGAATATGCTGATATTGCAAAACATGCACAAGTCCTCACATTCCCCTTGAGAATTATTGCATGATGGTCATTCCTAAAAAAAAAAAATTTTGAGTCATAACAGAGACGCACTCATTATCTAATATTTACATACTTACTTGCTGTTTTATAAAAAAATCATGGTAATTATAAAGTTAAATAAAACAGTATATGTAAATATTATACAGAGTGATTAAGCGACGGATATGACTCGAATGTCCAAGATTTTTGTGGAATGATACCTCAGTGACTGTTGAAGCATGTTCACCAATCCTGTAAGGAATGTTCTTTGCAGTGTAGAATGTTGTCAGGTACAAGAGGGTGTGGTCATGTGACATCTGTCATCACCATGACAACATGATAACATCTGTCATTACCGTGACAACCTGGTGACTTTCTAGACTTAGCTGTGACACATTTGGCGCTATCATGACATCATTTGTACTTTGTGGATTTAATTTATATAATCTAATTTATTTTGTATTTCATCTAATGTAGCCCAATTGAATATTTAAAGAAAGATGACAGATTTTTTGGAATTGCATGAAAATCTGGATAATTATGTGGGTGCTGTTGATAATCCCCAGACTGGCACTTCATTACTTTTTTCAGGTTTTTTAAAAAGATGGCTTTCATATATGCATGCAATCTGATTTGTTATTACTTAAAAACAGAAGTCTGAAGTCAGATAATTTGCATATATCTCCAGCAGCCCAAAGGCACTTTTAAATGCTTGAAGAGATAAAATAGATGTGGCATACTGTTTACAAACAAGACTGTTCCCACATATGCAAACCATACAGAGATATCATTCCTTGGTTAGGACATTGAAAGGCAGTTGCAGAGTTGCCAACTCTAAATATTTACATGTATTCTGTGTATTATTTAGGACAGCCTCTCATTCATAACATGTGTTATTCTATTATTATTGTTATTATTATCTATCTCTTATTTCGAGTACAGCCATGTTGGGAACCTTGATATTGAAATAAATTTCTTCAAACGCATGTAATATGAATAGAAGATAAAGCTGTGTGTTCTTTTCTGCTTCAGAATCAGAAAGCCAGAAAGATCAGCGTAATATCTCCAGGGGAGGAGCTAGCCCCCTGGCACTGACTCCCAGATTAACAGTAGCCCCAACAACACCCTGACCGCTGCTGATGGTCAGAAGTTACGAGGACGCACCGGTGGACGATTGAGCTCCATTTTGAACACGTTTGGCCTCAAAGTGAGTATCTCGATGTCCTGGGATAACAAGTGTGTTCAGCTGATATGAATTTGAGCTAGATGTGGAATTTTTTAGGATTTGTCTTGCACTGATATGATTGTGGAAGATGTGGAATAAAGTAATACTAATAATTATTGTTATTTTTATTTTTTATTTTTTGTTTTTGTTCGGCACAGAGGATTGGATATGTTTGATTTTACTGTAATTTCAGTTGTCATGTTAATAGTAGTAATTTTGTCTTTTTCATTGCCACTCATCGCTTGACACATGCCATTTTCACAATATTCTCACGCTAGTTCACGATAATACATCTGATTGATGGAAACATATAAGTGGCACACATGACCATCTGTGCCAATGTCTCTACACACCAAAACATGTCTGCATCATGTAATACAGGAATTTTAATAAGTCCCACCTAAAGTTGTTAACATGGGTGAAAAGTCCAGTTTCCTCACTTATGAGATGAGACGCAGTATCTAGAATTTTAGAGAAGCTGTTTGTCATGCCTTCTCGTGTGTTAACCAAGGTAGTTCATATTTTAGTGGCTTTTAGCCAGAGATTACACAGAGAAATACATTTTCATTTGTTACTGAGCAAGCACTGGCTAGATAGAAAATGACCAAGGAAAAGGACGGTTGTTAATGTACCTGTAAATGATCAAATTGTGTGTTTTCCATTATCATGCTTCACCGATTACCACTCATGATTCTCTTTTTTTTTTTATCTTTCAGGAGACCAACAAGCAAGAGCTTCTCTCGGAGAAGTTGAATGAGTACAGTCTGACCGGTTTGCCAGATATGCCAGAGCTACTGACCTTGGGTCATCCCAAGTTTGACCAGCAGTTGTTTGAGTTGGAAGGACACTGGACAGCGTTTGTTGATGACCCTGGGGTAAAATACTTAAGATTACTCACAGTCGAAATTTATCAGCTGTGTTGAGCACTAATTTTTTCTTCAATCAAAATGATCCCTTGACATAATCTATTATTATAATTCTTTGTATGATGAAATAGTGTTACATGTGTTAGTATGTCATACATGTACTCTTCAGATTCTGTTGATTTATAAGTTTGTTGGACCTTGATTGGTTCACATTGGTTTTGCAGAGTCTGAGTGAAAGTTTAAAGATATGAGGAAGTTGTGTCTCTAATTTGTCTTCCCCTTGTTCTTCTAGAATCGGAGTAAAAAGATCTTAAAAGTTGTCTTTAAGTTGTCTTCACCTTGTTGTAGCAGAATCTGAGTAAAAAGATCTTAATAGTTGTCTTTACATTGTCTTCACCTTGTATTTTGTAGAGTCTGAGTAAGAAGCAGAAGGACCAGCAGGAGGCGCTGTGGGAGCTGCTGCACACAGAGGTGGAGTACATCAGGAAGTTGAAGGTCATCACAGATGTAAGTGCTGGATATCGGGGATACAAGGTGGATTAAAATAAAAACCGATGGAAGTCTACTAGATTTATAAGGAAATACAAATTTTTGTAATTATAAAAAAATCTAGATTTTATGTAATATCTCATGGTGGATCAACTGAGAATTCTGAAGTAAAATGTTCACTTTTTCAAAAAAAAAAAAAAAAAGAATCACTCCTTTGAAATGTCTAGCCACAGGATTGCACTTCACCCAGAATATGTCATTAACAAAATGGCACTTAATCCCTTTTGAAGTTGGATGAAAATATCCTGACTTATTTGTATTTCAGCTTTTCATGTGTGTCTTGATCAACCTCCAAAATGAGCAGTTACTCAATGAGGTAAAACTTTTTTAAAATGACTAACTTATCAATATCTGCTGTGTTTGGTACACATTTTCTCATATAGTCATTTTTGTAGAAGCTATAGTCAACAGATGGTAAAATGTGACCAACAGCTGTGGAATTCTCTAATTGTATTTACCCATGATTTGGGTGTTTCATATCTCAAGCAGTGCTCACAAAAATGAAAGTAATTTGAATTAGATATCTATGTAAACCAAATACCCCTAATCATAATCTAACAGAAACAACAGAATTTTGACTTTATGATAGTCTTTATTTGAGCGCAACAAATTACATTCTAGAATATGACTGAAAAATCACTGAGACACATTTATTGTTACCTTTCAGATTGAGACAGAGAAGTTGTTCAGTAATATTAGTGAGATTGCACTGGCCAACAGTCAGTTTTGGTGTGGTCATATGAGCCGTGTTTTAGAGGAAGCCAGGAGGAGCCGTAAACCTATGAACCCAGGGGTCATGAAAGACGGCTTTGTGAAACATGTGAGATTTAGCAATAGCAGCCTTTCTTATTTTTCATTTATAATCCTAAATTTTTTTATTTGTTAATTTTTAAAAATTAATTTAGATAACCCCGGGGGAGGGGGAAATCAAAGTAAATTTGTGTCAGAAATGTCAGGATTAAAGTGCTTTTGAAATGGGTCAGATATTAAGATATCCTTTTATTTACAAAATGCATTCAGAATGCTGTCAATTAATTGATAATGATAACTCAACTTGTTGGCAGGTCTTTCTCCTATTTGTTTTATATCACAACAGAAGATACTTGCTGATGAATTAAGATTCAAATGAGGGAATTATTAACCAGTCAGTCAGTCTAGAGTTGAAGTAACAGATAGTATTTTGGATGCAAAGAAAATGAACAGATGCATGTGATTATCAAATACTGTATTTTATTTTCAGTTTGAAGAAGAGTTCCTCCCGTATACCAAGTACTGTTTAGAACACAAGATGTGTCAAGATTACATGAAGACATGCTTCAGGGAAAACGAACTCTTCAGAACATTTGTTGTGGTCAGTAGACATTGCTATGACTATTTAATTAGGAATTATACAAATTGCCTTCAGCATTTGTTATTACTTGAATTTATGATCCTAAGTTATTAAACAAGAAATCTGTAATGATTATTGTACAAAGTTCTCTATGTAGCAAAAATTTGTTTGTTTTTTTTTTTTTTGTTTTTTTTGAAAACATTAGTTGTGCTACTGCAAATCCTATTCAGTATGACATCATGTAAGTTATATTGCTGAAGTTCAATGTGTTAGGTGTGACAAACTAGGATGTGACACACTGCTGATTGTGTTTGGTGTGACAAAATCGTTGAGATGCTTCCTGTACATTTCAGTGGGCTGAGGCCCAAAAGCAATGCAATCGTCTCAAGCTAAATGATCTACTAGTCAAACCTATGCAACGCCTCACAAAATACTCCCTCCTGCTCAGTGCCATACTGAAGAAAACTGAAGATGAGGAGACTCGGAAAGATTTAAAGGAAATGGTAATAGTCACTGTAGATTGATTTTTGCTGAAAAGATCTGTACATGGGCCTGAAAACTTTAATACTTGCAATTAATTAATCTTAATGTCATTGTATTACACTGTAATCATCATCTAACAAACAAAATATGTATAGAACTAATTTGAGAAAAATGTTTGAATATAACATTAAAAGTGTACATCTGTTTTAATTTACTCCTCTTTGTCTAGTCATGTTATAAAGTAGTAATTGATTGCTTTCAGGTGCAAGCTGTGGACAAATTTGTTCACTCAGTCGACTCCTCTCTCAGACACCGCCATGAGCAGGAGCGTCTAGCAGCCATTATTAATAGGATCGAGGCTTATGAAGGAGTTGACCCTCCTAATGAGGAGTGTGTCAAGGTGTGTATGTCATCCTCAACACAACAAAATATTTAGATTCCCAAAGGGTTCATATGATGTGTAAAACAAATCAAGATATGATATATATTTATTTTTTTTAAATTTTATCTGTTTATTTATTTTGTAGTTATTTTTTTCCCGACGCCCATTTTTTTCTTACTCAAATCATATATGTATATCTCTGAGTAGACAGTGTCTGGTAATTTCTCACCAGATAACTTGTAGTCTGCATACTTTGAAGAGCTTGCTGCTAATGGGTTATGTAAGACATATCCCCCACTCTGCCAAAATGTTGTAAGGTCTCCATAACATATCACACACTTGGCAATGCCCCGTGAAAAATGATTATAGATGCTATAAGAGTACAGTAACTTCCCCTTGACATTCCCAGGTATTCGCCCACTTAAAATATTGTGTAAAGAACATAATCATCTTTATTTACCCATGCTTCTAGGTTTAGATTCATGTTTCAGACTTTATAAGAGTACTTAACTCTGACATTTCCTGGCAACCCCTCATGTAAACATTGCATAAAGTACATAATATTTATTTACCTGTGATTCAAGGTTTAGCTCTATGAATATCATATTTCAGATTCTATAAGAGTACAGTAACTTCCCCTTGACATTCCTGGTTTTTACCCACAAAATATTGCTTAAAGTACATAATTATATTTACATACTTTAGTTCAAGGTTTACCTCGATAAATATATTATTTCAGACTCTATAAGAGTACAGCAACTTTACCCTGACGCTTCCTGGCATACACCCACAAAAAAAATGAGTTAACTACACTATTTATATACCTGTGGTTCAAGGATCATGTATACATAATATTTCAGACTCTCCAAGAGTACAGTAACTTCACCCTGACGTGCCCCATGCCTGGCTGTCTGCCACAACAAACCAGGCACCTGCTCCTTGAGAGACCCCTGAAGATGAAGGAGGCCACGGGGAAGGTGAGGGCTGCTTGTATCCTATCAGAATAGTGATACTTATTTTCTCTTTTTCTCTTCTCTTATTCTGGGTTTCCACCATGTTTGGGTTGTCTCAGTGTTAAATAAGTGCATGTGCAAAATGAGAAAAGGAAATGGAAAGGGACAGCACGTTTTAGTTAATTAGAATATGTTTTTACAAGAGGATAGGGTTGAGAACCAAATGAAATAAATTTTTTTTCAAAACTGTGTGTACCAGCACTTAGTTTTGGTGTTAAAAGAACCATTCAAAATTACTTGATATTTAATTCAAAATAACAACTGAAAAATCCCCTGCTTTATGTCTGACACAATGCTAGTCAGATCTGGTGAACTCCTACTAAGTGTAGAAGTGTTCTAAGATTGTACTTCTATCTCCAGATGGACGTGCATTGTTTCCTGTTCACTGACATGTTACTGGTTACCAAGCCAACCAAGCGTGGAGGAACAGGGGACAGAGTGAAGATTGTCAAACCACCAATGAGAATTGACAAGGTGGTGGTTCAGGAACTCCGCGATGGAGGTAAAAAATTTTTAGAATGTTCAAGTTTTTTTCAGAATGAAGCAAGTTTGCAGAAAGTGGCAAAATTAGGAATAAAGATGTGTAAATTTGTGTTGAAGTTTTTCCAAAGAAATTTTTCTGATACTTTGAAAACATTTCAACACTCAATTTCTTTTTTCTTCCAGGAAGTTTCCTGTTGATCTATCTCAATGAATACCATGTTGCCTCAGCAGCACTCACTATGCAAACTGACAATGTCAAGCTATGGATTAACAAAATTCAGAAAGCTCAGGTATGGGTGCTGTCTTCCTGGCAAATGTTGCAGTTCTTAGGATTATATTTTGTTCTTCACAATTGACAGTTTTGTCTAACAATCAGTCTGTGTGTTCTAAACATGTATAACCTTTTTCACATCAAACTGTAGACTTTTTCTATTGGGCACAATTTTGAAATATCGACAACTTAATAGCAATGTTATTACATAAAGGAGTCACCTGAAGAGAGCCCCCTGCATGCAACATAGCCAGTTAACCAGATTTATTTTTATTCGTCCAAACAAGTTGAAGTGAAATTGTGAAAAAGGAGTGTAATTATATATTAGGACCAGTCAAAACACTCCAAAACAGAAAAGTGTACTGATCAACGAGAAAAAGGCCTTAGTTAAAGTAGTGTTTTAAACTTGTTTCACCAACAATCATTTTGTTTTTTATTGAAATAGGAACTTTACAAAAAGGCTCGAGATGAAGCAACTGAGAAAGCGGAGAGACAGCTGGCTGTTAATTTCTTCGATATTGATGACGATGATGAGGCGGACTATTACGGGACATTGCTGAGCGTTGACAACGGTTCAATGAGAAGCAACACAAGTCATGAGAGCCTCACGCGCCAGTACTCTGAGGACAATGAAGGGAAATATTTGCCAAATTTAGTGGTGGGCCCCGTGGGAGGGATGTACCTACCCCATGCCCACAGCGAGCTTAGTCTGGACCAGATAGAAATGATTTCGAACACAGGCGCTGATCCGTGCACAAGGATCAAGGATTCTCGTAAGGACAGAAAACAAAGGCCAAGATCACTGACTTATGGCGATCTCATGATGTCACCATCTTTAGCGGCAGGGCGGCAAGACGAGGAGGCAATGCGCTTTCTTTTTCCTGATGAATCGGCCTCTATGAGAAATTCACCAAAAGTGTCGCCAACAGCAGTACGAAGGCGTGGTCATGTGACTAATAAACCTGGCCCCATCATTATAAAACCATATCGTGCTGACTCATTCTCTGGAAGCGAAACAAATTCTCCACATGGTCAGATGTCTCCAATGGAGAAAAAACAATTTGCATTACCAGATAGGCCGAGTATTGCCTTCAACTTGGATGAGAGTTTACGAGGCAAGTTGAACCAGCGTAGACAAGGGCGGGGAGAAAAGCGCTATCACACGGCTGACTCAATACAAGATATTAATCGATCTCATGAACATGATAAAGATGCTAGTATACACAAGCGCCTCTCTTGGCATCTTGGTACAGTTGATATTAATCTTGAGGATCGTGAGGCAATGTTAAAAAATAAAGCGTTCAGCTCGGAATCGTTACGAAGCATTCGGAGCTCTAGCGGAGTCAGCTCTACAGGATCCCTCCATTTGAGTCCTGAGAGCGAAATCAGTGAAGAATATGAACAAGACGGCATCCTTACCTCTTCTAATGAACAGGTAAAACCAAAGAGATCTGAAAGTGACAGTAAAATGAGGCCAGATCTCAAGGACCTGAGGTCAAGGTCAAATGCTGTTGAATTAGAGACCAATGGCTCAACCTCTAATCAGAAACTGAACTCAAACTCTAAATCAAAATCTCTGTCAGATATAAGTAGGATCATAGCCGAGGCGTCATCCAGCGAGATGAAGGACGGGATCTCTTCGGTGGACTTGCCAAAGTATGAGGGCCAGAAGAAGAAGTTGTCTCATGCAGAGATTATGAAGATGAAGAAGCAACTGTTGCTGAGCTCCAACGTGGAAGCCTCGTAAGTCCTTTTGGTGTGTGCAGACAGGGCAGCTTTAGGCCAGAAATAGGTCCAACTTGTGTCACAAGTTAACAATTTGACCCCCTGCTCTCTCCCTCTCTGTAATGGCATGATATTGACCTGTTTGTGGGCTATTTAAAGGGTCCTTGTCTGACTGCATCAGTATAAAATATGATTGAATTTTACAGTTTACAGTTTCTACATCTTGTCATTGTATTATTGCAGCTGTTTTCTATATGGAAATGCAATCCTGCTACTGCAGTCCATTTTCACATATAATCGGGTGTAATCCTTCACATATTTTCTGTAGGCCTAATTAGTTTAGTGAAGATGTTTATTTATAAACACGTCCAAGTAGAATAATCTGCCTCAGTGCCAATTGTGTATTTGAGTGTTTGGTATATCATGATAATTATTTCGTTTTATTTTATCTCATTTGTTTACTTAAATATAGTCATGAGCCACAAGTTGTGAAATGAAACCAGTTAAATAAAAGTTATGGAATTCAATACTTTGTCTTTCAGGGAAGTGTAGCCTTAGTGAAGATTTTCATTGGAAACGTGATGGATGCAATGGACAAGTCACAGTTGCAGTGAAGACATGATGGTTGCTAAGGAAACTTCAGTTGTCATGGAGACTAGTTTTTTTTCTATAGAAATCATCTAGTTACAAAAGAATCTTGAAATATGGATAACGCCTGTTTGGTGCATGTCTCGGCAAGAGCAAGTCAATAATTCTTAATTGTGTTATATAAATGTCTTTCTTTGTTAAAGATTAATATGTGTATAGGGAATTTGAGTGGGGACTTTTTTTTTCAAGTGAAAGATGGAGTGATATGTGACAGTCTACAAAGTTTTAATGTGATAACTGCTCTCCTTGAGGTCTAAGCTGTAAATATAGATTATAAAGACAGACATGAGATGGGATTCATCTAGAATAATGCCAAGAAGATGTTATGTTTTACTACAGTTATGAATGCTGCTATTAGCAAATCATATCAGGGGAACTGTGATCGTAGTGACAGATGTTGTTGATTTAATTGTAGTAGATTCCACGTGTAAACCATAGCGAAATCTCTTTGATAAGACGATGATTCAAAAAAGAGGACTCGTTTTACCAAAATTCAGGAACTGTGCCTCCAGTGAATTATGACGCCAGTTGATCTGGTTTGTGGACATATTTTGTGAGATGATCTAAGTACTGACACATGCCTGAGCTTTTGTTTAAAATTTCCAGAATTAACATGGGGTGATCTCGCACATCAAGTATCTACGAGATGTATTCGGGACTGGAGTGGGTTGAGATAAATTGCGCTCTCACAATGGTCTGTCTCACCTACCACAATTTGACCGTGCGCAGCAGTGATGGGCTCTTTTTGCCACAATTTCTCAAAACGACGAGGTTGGATTTATTATGCATCTCATGATATAAAAGATATGAATAACAAACACTTTTTCACAAAAGTAGAAATTAAAATATAAAAAAGCAGGTCGATTAATAGAACTATTTGAAAGGGAAGAGATCAGTATTTCTAAAATTCTGGAGACGGACTTAGTAATTGTTGTTGGTGATAAAGACATAATGCAGTTCTCTAGAGTGGACTCTAACCTCATCAAAACTATGTGGCATGTTTGACAGAAAGAATTTAATTATTACAGAGCTGACTGTGTTATGGGAGATGGAAATTTTAGAGGTCTATTTCGAATAAGAAGCAATATAGGGAGGTAAATAAATATCAAATTATAAAGATAATTTGTGCATGTAAGAGGCGAAATTCATCTTTTCATCTATGGTATCTCTAGATTTACCCTCATTTATACAAATATTATATATAATTATATTGTACGCGTATGGAACGTTTATTAGCAATACAGTATGGTTTTAGTAACGTTTTTTTTTTTTTTTCAATGAAAATAAATGCATTTTTACCAGACCAAGTTTTTGTGTTGGGGGGGGGGGGCATTGATTATTTTGCGACTGCGCAATTGCTGTCACAGGCTGGCTTTCCGAGCGCTGTAAAACAAGTGTTGCCGACGAGGTGAAGGCAGTTTGCCTGGCCAATCCAGCTCACAGGTGTTGACTGACACTGAGTGGAGATAATGAAACGATTTTGTTGTCTTTGCCTTGGTGGGTTTAGTAGCTAACAGCCTTACTCAAAAGGTGAATGGCAGATTTTGATAATATTTTCAGGATCGGCCAAATATTTTCTAACATAAAATCGAATAGATTTTGGTGGTGATCCATCGATTCATTAATTGATTAACAGCAAGTGAGATCTGAGCTACCGTGGTGGAAGTCTGCTCTCTGTAAGTGCCTCACTCGCTCTTAGGGTACCTGTCGGCTTAAAGCCTGCGAATTGCTTGGTAAATTGCTGTTTCTACAGTTCACCAGTTCACAACGGCCCGGAGCAGATCCTGTTTACCTTTCTATTTCTAGCTCACCACCTTAGTATTCAGCATTTTGTTCAATGAAAAAAGGTCAATAACAATGAACTCTGGATAATTCCTCGTTTGGTATGTCTGTTGCATAGCACGACTAACGTATGTTGACATTGCGAAGAAAACTAAAGCACATAGAATGAAACGTCCACATGGTTGTCAACAAGTCAGCTACAGCTGAAATGTAAGATGATAATCCTATTGCGATTTAGCCTGGTCACATCTCTGTATTTTTTGTTCCACGCGAATGAAAACGTGTGCCCACACACAGGCACACAAGCACGCGCACCTGAACTCGTGCGCGCACGCACGCAGTGACGCGTCTAACACGCCACGATTAAAAAAAAAAGAAAAGAAAAAAAGCACGGTTATTGAACCATGGGCAACCAACAGTCGCATGACAGGTTTTATCAAGTGTTGAAGTGTTGATTATTTAGCAGTAGGTTGTTGACACACATGTAGCGCCCTCGATTTTGTTTTGCTAATGCCAAGTAAAGAGGGAAATAATCGACATAACAAGGCTAGAGACAGACAGGATTTGTGTTTTAACATTAATTACCATTACAACGTCATTAAAGGAGAATCTTATTGGCAACCGAGCAGCATTGTAGCCAGCGGTGTAGGCATTGAAAATAAGGAGTACGAGGCGTTTTAAAAACCCGAGAAGTGTCGTACAATTATGATGGTGCGTATGTATAATGCAAATGTTCTATTTCCTCGGATGTTATATCGACCGGAGACCATTGATCAGGGCATTTGCACTCTTTGGTAGGAAATCAATGCGCTGCTAGCTCGTGTACAGGCCACAAGTAGTCTTCAGACTATAGATCTCTTTACATCTATGCAGCCATAGCTTTTCTTTTTGTTGGAGTGAAGGTTCGGTACTACGCACATGAACAACGACTGATTCACTGTCGCCGGGTGCACGCCATCAGCTGAATACAACTACAACGGAGAACCAAGTGAAGCGTATCTATCTAAAGAACATTCAACTGATATCATGCGGGATATGCTGCGTGTATATGTAATCGTGTATTTGTTTTCGCAGGTGAAAAAGGTAGGAAAGCATAGCAACATAATGCCAGAAGTAAGTGTGACAATGGTTTAAAAGGGAGACAATGGATCACCGAAACCTTTTCATTGGGGATGAAGCGTAAATAATCAATCCAGTTGAGATGAGTCTCAGAAATTTTTGAGCAAACTGTATATGAAGACTGTAAATATCCCGCTAGATCTACACAATAAGGATAGATGCACGATTCTGGACACCTGAAAAATACACCACAACCAGCAACTGACTAGATATAGTGCGCTAATTATGGGATTCTGAGATATTTTGCGTGTGCATCAATAAATACAGCGGGTTCATAGGAGTGAAATAAACGTAGCATAGCCTATAATTGTGAAGATTGATTTGACGGAGATGGCACAACACAGGCAGACCTTATCTACTGCAGATATCAGCCAGGTATATTAACTGGAAAATCCGGGGGAAGTGATCTAATAGCACATGTGCGATTGGTCCTGATTAAGTCGAGTGGTTGTGTGTGTGTGTGTGTGGGGGGGGGGGGGAGGTTGAGAGTGATTGAAAGTGATTGTTGTAATGATGGTGCTGACAGTGAGTGGGTGTGGCGACGGCGGCGCTGACAGTGAGTTGGCGTGGTGATGGTTCGCTGACAGTGAGTGGGCGTGGCGATGGTTGCGCTGACAGTGAGTGGGCGTGGTGATGGTTGTGCTGACAGTGAGTGGGCGTGGTAATCGTTGCGCTGACAGTGAGTGGGCGTGTCGATGGTTGCGCTGACAGTGAGTGTGCGTGGCGATGCCGGTGTTGACAGTGAGTGAGCATCGTGATGGTGGTGTAGGAGAATCATCGTTGTGGTGAAGTTATCCATGATTGGGGGCGAGGTGGTGATTTTGACGGAGATTTGTTGGCGTGGAGCGAGAGCGGACGTGGTGATAAGATCAACAATTACAATACTTGTAGCGTGAAAATCGAAAATAACAACCCTTTTGCTGTGGTTTATCTTTTACTGACGAGAACAAGTTAGTCGGTAATTGTTTTATTGGCACTTCGTGTTGTTGGGATGGAAGGGTTAATAATTGTAGTGCAGACGTTTGAAGCTAGGACGTTTTTTGATAAAAGGTAAACAATTCTATTCATACACACAGCCTTACTGAGCAGGTAAGAATATGCTGGCGGGAAAGTGTACATCCCCATCCTCCCCCCCCCCCCCCCAACCCCACCACGCGGAAACTACTCGCTTTTCCCTTCTATTGACATTTTTTATAGAAGGCTACATCTAAATGTAGCTAGTGGCAGAATAACAAAGACCAACCTTGCATTGGCGCATGCATGCACAGCAAAACACGTGCACTTGAGAACGCAACACAAACATTTTTTCTCATCAATTACTGTTAAGTCAAATTTAACATTTGGGGAAAAATATGCACGTTCACATACACACACAACAGACATTCGCGCGCGCGCACGCCCGTACAGTATTGCTCCTTTTATTTCGTAACCTCGTGTGTTCCATCAAGGACTCTCAGTCCATCAATGTCGTGAACTGACAGCGTGCTACGCAAGGTATCTAAATTTGTCCACTGTCCTCTTGAGGTTAGATCGGGCCAGGGTCATTGCAGGCACGTGCAGTGATCGAACTTGTGCAATTTTCCGTCACCTAGCATGTCATTCATTTTGATAAAAAAGACAAAGAGCTCAGACGAAAATCGTAAGTCACAGGTACCTGAAGGTAAGCTGATACTAAGTGTATAATAAATGAGAAAAAATGTTCATTAGCTTGGTAGTTGGATAATTTATGATTATCATTAAACACAAGCTGAAATGTTTTCACACCGTGAGCAAACGGTCAGCCCGGTCATCGGCCTTCATGAGGATGGCTGTTAGCTAAAGGTATGAAAAAATTTCACCCAGTGTTTAATTGGCGTTAATAACCTTTCTCAGTCTAAACTTATATCAGTTTAAACCTCATCAGATCGGATTGTTAAGTCTTGCTTTCCTTTTATTAACCAGTGTGATGATTAAAGGTAATGTCTGTTCTGAAAATACCATAAACGCGCAGCCACTTAAAAAGCGTCAGTAGTTTCAGGTTTGTTAGATTCTGGTATCCAGAGATGCAGTTCAGTTCTCACTATAATTTATAAATCAATGGATCACCGCTAAAATCTAATCGACTCTGAGATACCCCTATCTGGCCTTTACAGAGGAGCGTTCTACAACTTTAAGGATAAGTCTGTTAACTAACAAACCAACAGACCAAAAAAAAAAGAATTTCACGTGGGCGCGGCAACAGTCTTACGATGGAGCCTGTTGCAAGGGCGAAACGTGCGTATGTGTGTACATGGACATTGGCCTGTGCTTGAGAGCGCGTGTACGTGCCCTGCGTCTTAACAGTGACGTCATTTCTGTTTAAAAGTCCTAAAATTTTCCATCACCCATCTGATCAGTCATGTTAGAAAAGCCGTTAACAACGACAAATATGTTTTTTTTTCTTCATTTCAATAAGGCATATTTCCCTATATTGGCTACAACAAGCCAACGGCATCTTTGCTGAGATTGAACAGGTGAACATTTCCATAGATTTTTAGATCGATCTATCCCTGTGGGGAGTCTCACTAGATTACTGTCAGCTTGGCCGGCTTAAGCGTCTGTCCCGCCTACTAAAAGCTGTAAAGGGGTAATTAACTATGGTGCCCGCTCGGCTGACTGCAATTTAGCGTGAACCCCCCAGGGAGTTAGGTCGATCTAAATCTTAATCTTTAGATCGATCTAAATCTCTGGGAAAGCACCCTTACATTCATGTGATAACCGTAACATATAATTGTAGTCCATCCATGTAACAAGAGCACACGGTTTGTCGACCTTTTTTAATCATACAAATATATCAAAAGCACATGTGCAGTCAAAACTATGCTGAAGTTTGGTCTATATGTATACATTAAAATTACACGCGCTGTAAGTATACTTGAATGACTTCATGGAAGAGCACGGAAATACTGTTATCGGGTACAAGTAATCAGAGAAGAGCAGCTTTTGATATTTTTTATTCAGACACAATGTCATGTTATAGCTCTTGGCGAAGAATTAGATGCAGCGACACAAAATTTGTGCTTAAAAAATAGTAAAATGGCGCCTCAGATTTATAAGCACAATTGCGAGTCCAGCTTCTCTTTTGATGGTCTTCTGCCTGCTGGTGTCAAAACATTGCAATTTTAGGTTTATCTATCGTCTTAAATGTACCTTTAATTTCAACGTGCAGCCTAAAATGCATTCATGTTAAGGCCGTCATGCATTCCACTCCAGTACAATACAGTCATTTAAAGTGCATTCCATGTACTTGCGCGACATTGCATTTTATTGTATTGCAGTGCCAACTAAGACTGCGGCCCGAGGACTTCAGAAACAAAAAGATACGCAGTCTATCTTCTCGGGTCTTTGACATCTTTGTAGCGCTTACAAAATTCAATCTCAAAGTAGGGCCCTATCATCACCACTTACAACCAAGGGTTACACGGTGTTAAGTCAAGCTAAACATGGTTATCTGTTTCGCAAACACAACCTGTCTGCTACGATAACTGGCTGTTCCCGTTACATGACAAAGGCTGTCGCGTTGCCGTACACCTCAAGTGGAAGTGCGTGTGTGCATTCACGCGTAACTTGGAACAGCTCATTGTAACGTGTACTTCGGCAAGATTATTCACGTTTACGATTATCATCCCTATGCTCCCCCCCCCCCCAAAAAAAAAAAAAAGTCTAAAAATCTTCCCTGATATAACAGGGCTTTTGCCACAGACAGATGTTAAGACCAAAATTTGTTTTTTAACGTTCGGACCAACATTCTGAGTCTACTTCAAACGTGGATAAGTCCGTAGAAGTTCTCTACTATAAATTTACAATTGGCTTATAAAACGAACCACTTATTTCGCTTTATAAAACGAGCGCAAAGTTTCTTTAAGCAGGCTATTACTGATACATCTGACTTGGAATGTTGTTTACAAATCAATACCAACACGTTCAGTCTAAAGGTCGTGTGTACGACCGGGCAGTGGAAATTTTATGACCTGAAGTTCGGGGCAGTAGCTGAGTTGCAGATGCCGCGGTATCCGGGCAGGTTGTAGCGTTATATAGCAAGCATGCTTTGCCTAGTCTCTGTTGTCCTTCTAGTGTGACCGCCGACTGTTCTTGTGTCTTCGGGAAGGACTACATGCTTGTTACATGACCGGGTCTAAAGCCAGATAATAGCACAACGGATCAGTGTTTTCCTGAAAACGTGATTCTTTTTGCCCCCTCAGTTAATCCAGAGGCCGCATTCACAACCAAAATTAAAAATCCGCGAACCAACACATCCGGGGATCAAATATGGCCGACCCACTTGAAAGCGTAATCCCCGTGGGGAACCATTTCAATATAAAACACCGAATACAAGTGCAGCGACGGGTCGAGCAATGCTTTACGAGAATGAGAAAATCAAAAATGCACTTTTTGGAGGATAATAAGATTTAAGCTCGAAAGTCCAATGTAACATATCTTGAATGTCAAACAGTACAGTATAGTTCCACGCTTACCAATCACAAAATGCGCAGCATGACGATATAACTGTTTGTTTGCTTGGTTATAGTGTTATTCGAAATTTTCTTTTGTGAAAAAAAATGATAAAACATGTCTGAACTTTTTGTCCCTTCAGAGTTCTCTGAGCTTTATAAATATGAGGATTCAAACCGTTGGAAATGGAGCGAACCCGGCTCAGAGCCTCCCAAACTTGGTCCTAGCGCAGTCCATACAGTCTCTTCCACTTTCGCTGTTGCCAGCAGACGATAAACTGGAAAGTGACACATCGTTGAAGTCTCAGCAATTATGCGATCACGTGGACAAAGGATGGGCGTGGGTAACCATGGTAGCCGGATCAGCATCTCTGTTTATAATCAACGGGTTTACGTACAGCGTTGGTAGGTGATGGTGAACAAACGCATTACTCTGTACACTGAATTTTCCATTTTTCATAATGCCACACACGCGGTTTCTACTACTATCAACTGGTGAAACTGACAATTTCAAACAATAAAGTATTTGGCATTAGTTTAATATTTGATAATTGCATTATATATTTTCCAATATTTGCAATGCATCCTTGAAACCCCGTTTCCCTGTCAGTGGTAAACTTACAATGGGTTAACTTTTTTCGGTTTCTTTCATTCACAAGGAGTGTTTTATCTGCCAATGCTGGAGGCATTCAACGAAGGAGAGACCATAACATCCATGGTGGGTTCAATTTTCATGGGACTGGCCATGATAGCAGGTAAGGTTTGACGAGTTCTCATTAATTGTCTCATTGCCACTCAACGATTTAAACATGTACATTGTATTAAAGCTATCTACAGCTATTAACCAGACCCTGAATACGACTATCGGTTTTGCGCTACACGTGTACTCGATGTCCTCTGACATTGGCTTTGTTAATGTTTAACATCTCTAATCAGTGAATCTTCGTTTCGGTGTGCCGACATGCGTCTACACAAGTGTTTATCTTTTGTCGTTCGTGTGAGGTCAGCCCAGTGCCCTGGTAGGCCCACTTAAAGGGATAACAACTGTCCATTTGGCCCAAATTGGATTTTCCTGGGGTTAACGAAAATTTATCCTATACTTACCAATGGTTAATGAACCCGTTCCGACTTTCAAAGTTAGTCCCTGTTCTTTTTTTTTTCCAAAAAGTTCTTTCTTTTTGTTATAATCACTTAAGAGATTTTAACAGAGGGTAGCCATCTATTGGGGTCACGTGGTCCGATGTCAAGCACAGATACCAGAATAATTGCGATAACTACCGTTTTGGTGGTAAAATAGAATTTATTATATTTCTAAGCTTTGTATTTATTGTGAAATATCGATACGTAGAGTTGTTTTCCCTTTAATGTAGTGAGTCCCGAAAGGATTCCAGCACACACAAAACATTTTAAAAACATTACCAAAAGGTTAAACAATGTGTTGATAATATTAACTACAACTGAAATACATGCCTATCAAACACATATTTTAAAAACATTTTCAAAAAGTTTTTCGCAAAAACATCTTATCATAATACTAATCGTATGGGACCCCCGACTTCCATTCCCAGGACTACCGTTCTTGCCATAGATACCGTCTTTGCGTTTTCATGGGAATAGTGATCGATTCTGAAGGCTTGATACCATGGTTATTTTGCTTGGGTGCTATTCTTTTTGCATATTCATGATGTTCATTAACATAGAACAAAAGAGTCACCTAAATGGAGCCCCTAGTCAAACTGGTGCGCCACAAAACGTCTACCGTTACGTGGGAAAATGGCCAAAGGCAAGCAGTGAATTGCGCCAGTCTGAGCACATGCATTCATTATGTAACATCACCACAAAACGGACAACAAAAACAAACCTATTGCAACAATCTCTTAATTTTCCCAATATACTTATAAAAAAACCTGTATACTTAATGAGAATCACGACTGGTGAAAGGGACAACACAGATGGTTAACCTACCCCTTGAACCGCTTCAGGTGTGTTTGCCAGTATACTCTGTGATAAGCTAGATTGTCGGAGAGGGTGTATAATAGGAGGCTTTGTGGCAGCCATTGGACTGGGGGCCAGCTTCTTTGCCACCAACTGCACCTACCTCATTCTAACATTTGGAATAATTGCAGGTTAGTGGCACATTGGATAAGAGAAAGGATTTTCATTTTGGCTGCGATTTATCCATATCTGGGCGAAATGTGCGGAAATTGCACCACTATAGCTGTATCATGACGGAGTCCAATATGTTTTCTTGCACTAATGTCATTTCTTTTTGTTTTTATTTCGTTATATGTTCTAAACTGCTGCTTTTTAATACAAGATTATTAGATTAAAATCAATTAAATCAGCATGGAACTAATGCAGAAGAGCTCAAGGTACGAACTTTTTCACGTATATATAAGCAATTTGATATATTGCTAAAAAGAAAAACCAGTCAGCCTCAAGCAAAAGCCATTACCTTTATGCTTTAAAGCGAAAAGATGGCCCGAATTTCTTTCAAAAAACCTTTCAATTACATTCAAAATAATTGACAAATTAACTTCAAATTTTTTCCTGTAGTGTTGACGGAAATAACCATAATCTTTGCATCGTTTTTTTTTCTTTCAGGGTCCGGTCTGACATTTTGCTACACTTCCGTCCACATCAGTGTGTCCCACTACTTTAACAGACGGCGGCCATTTGCAATTGCCGTCATGCAAACAGGGGGCAGTCTCGGTCAGGTGATCTGGGGTCCTGTTTTCCATTTGTTTATTGACCTTTACACGTGGAGAGGGGCGTGCCTCCTAATGTCTGCCATTAGTTTACATTTAGTGGTCGTAGGAGCTCTACTGCGGCCTCATGCACAGGAATTCCAGCACAAAAAGCACAAATCTGATGCTCTATTTGACTTTAAAATTTTCAAGAACATAGCCTTTGATTTGTTCATTCTTAATGTGATCTTCATGTGCATCACGCTAGGGATGATCTTCGTTCATTACCCTGCATATGCAGTCTACTCCGGAACCTCGGAACACACTGCCGCCACCCTTCTCTCCGCCATTGGCTTCACCAGCATGAGTTTGAAACTGCTGCTAGGTGGCGCTCTGAGTCACCCGGATGTTGACATCTGGACGTTGTTCACAATGTGCCAAACCATTGTTGGCATCACGACATTGTTTTGTCCTCTGTTCATGGGATCCTATTCCGGGCAAATGGCGTATGCTGTGCTTTTTGGAACCTATTCCACTCCCTTCTTCATTGGAGCTACGGCGCTCACGGTGCAGTACGTGGACGTATCTCAGCTCGGATTTGCGATGGGAATTCTGTCCTTTGCCTATGGCATTGGCTTGTTCACAGGGCCAGTAGTGGCAGGTAGGTGAGGTGGGAACACTGACATGCGCTCCTACTACCTGTACCTGTAAATGGTCTGGAAATTCCGTATATTTGTGTGCAAGTTTGAATCTATCACTTTTAACATTTTGTTACCAGCGATGTACCCCAGCAATGGAAATGTGATTTTGATTAGTTGATTTTTTGATAATAGATTATTGTCATTTTTGCAGGATTTATGTACAGTTTACTCAACTCCTACAAGGTGGCAGTGCAGTTGGCAGGTGAGGGGCGGTGTTCTTTGTTCTCTGGACACTCTAGGTGGTCCGGGGGGTGGGAGGGGGGTGAATTGCTGCCCCCTCTTTCTTTCTTTCTCCTTTGGGTACATGTTGTATGCTCTTTTTGGCGCTCATTCAGGTTTTAATCCACTTCTTTGGATCGGAACCTAAACGAAGGAAGGCGCGGGGGGGGGGGGGTTCGCTTTGACTCAGAATGTAGATGAGAATATGCAAAAACAGCTGATTACCATTTTGGCAGCCTGTTGGAACGGTTAATTTCTTTGATCGTGCGGGGTACTCTGCATGTACCCAGTACTAGCATATCGAGCATAAAGGAAAATAGATGACTGTCTGTACATCATTTCCATAATGTTTCCAATAGATTAGCCATGTTCAGTGCATTATTTGTTCTACGTGTTCATTTTGTTCTAGGTTGCTGTCTTCTGGTCAACACTGGGATAATGTTCCTGGTGACCATCTTACATAGGACCACAAACATTACCCACAGTGCACCGGGCGATGACGCAGTTCCGGTTGACATAGAAGTTTGTGATATCAAGTATGATATAAACGATCTAAGTACTGGCAAATGTGACGGCAATAGCCATCCCACAGACAAAGACAGCGGCTGTAAAATCTCTGTAGATCCTAGAACATACAAAGAACAAAGGATATCTAAAGATGCATCGATCTTACACAGTGATAAAGAGGACATTTAGAGGAGGCGCCGTAAATTTGAAAAATCACCCAGAGAGTACAGACCTCCACCAAGGCAGCTCATTTCTTTTTATTAATTCATAAGCTAATTAATTAACTGATTAGTGGATCACCACCAAATCTGAATTGATTCTGAGTTAGTCCCTTATTGACCTATTCTGAAATTTCAAATCAAATCCATCTATCATTTGTTTTATTTAGGCTAAAAAAAACACAACGAAGGCAAAAACGTGATCTCCTAGGCGGAGGTTTCTGGTAATTGAATATGAGATGTGTCAAGTGACTCCGTTATAGGAGTTTACGAGAGTCAAGCCGGGGCTTATGGCAAATTATGTAAGAAAAATCTTATTTCAGCATTTAGATATATAAATAGCCAACTTAAATATAAATATTAAAATGCCGTCTAGTGGACCATGCCCAAGGTACATATAACTTTGTTCCAAGCCTTCAGGAAAGCATTGGTATCCGCTCCACGGTTGAACAGTGTCGTCGTTCGTGTACGCTAGGCCGCGAGAATGCTGGCAGAATGTCGTTTTTGCGTTATTGATGATAGATTTGAAGCTGCAGAAACAGTGACATACTCGAGCCAAAGTACATGTCTTTTACCTCGCCCTATTTTGTGAAATTTCTTCACATGTCGACAGCAGTTCCTCTATTTAGATATTTGAATTGTTAGGATCGCGTTAACGATCCAACAACGCAATGATTAATCATTTTTTAATTGAATTTGTACATTTTTTTCGCGATACATGTACATGTAATTTGGGTATGATTTGGTAATTACCATTTATCATCATAATAGAACACATAGGTTGCACAGTATATGGAGGCTTATTTTTATTATTATTTAAATTTAATTTTCTATTCATTTATCGTATGATTCGTTTTTTTATTTGCACCGAATGCAATGATATAGCTGATTGTTAGATGCACATAAACGTGCAAAGATCTGCGTTTAAATGTGTGAATATGTGTGCATTGAACAGAGAAAAATTGCGAAATGTCTCTTTTATTCTCAATAAATTATCATTACTAGATCTCTTTTTCAGTATTCCTCTACATGACAATATAGAAAAGTTACCGAAAAAGTCAGCAGGTTTCACCGAGGATTATTCTATCCAGAGGTGATGAGAAAAATCTTTGATTAAAAAATTCTTAAAACTTTCTTCTTTATTTATCACAACAAATTAATATCTCCGGTCTCTGTCCTTATTACGAGAATTCATGACTCAAAAACGGGTTTATGGATCGTGACTCTGTCAAGAGGATTGGATTTTCAAATAAATAAATAAATAATAATAATAATCAAAACAATAATTTAGGCTGTGTAAAAATCTCACGCTCACTGTACGCCTTGAATGAAAGGACGTTTTAGCGTACCCTGGTCACGTACATTTCCTATACATTCTCTCACATAACTACGTAATGCGCGCAGGCTGATGTATTTTAGGAAGCTGTATGCGGGTTGAATACCCATTTTGTAACTGACAAGTAGCTATTTTTAGTAGTGTCTTGACCTTAATTGTAGTATCGGTGTTGATAGTATTTAGTTTTTGCCGGCACGTGTTTGTTAGACAAGTCAGATTCTCGCAACGAGTTTCACGTTGATTCAGATGAAAGTTGTTACCAGTTGTTTCCAGTTGAAAGTTGATGTAAGTTGACATAAGTTGATGTTAGACAATAAACAGTACCATTTGTTACCAGTTGATGTTACCAGTTGATGTTATATATCGTTGACAATTGAATAAAATTGGACTGACACCCGCAACACATTTCATGACATAAATTGTACAATACGTTTTTGATGCCCTCATTTTCCCAAACCGGTCCACTGTAGATACGTTTATATGCAGCAACAGGGGTAGGTAGGTGAACTGGAAAAGTGGATGTGAGGTGTACGTTAGGTAGGCGTTCATTGTAGCTTTGTCCTACACGTGGTGTGAAACACACAACTCTTCTCGTCTGTTGGGTGGCTCCGTTTTTTCGTAAAGTCCGTATCTGCCGTCTTATATGTTTAATGTATTTATCTACTGATATATTTACACCTATTTCTCTGATATATTTACATCTTGGTATTAGTTAATTCTCAGTGCCAGTAACAACAGTGGTCTCGCTTCTGTTGCTGTGATCTGTCTATTACTCGCCACTTGGCTACCTATACAGTTTCTATCCAGTGACAAGTGACACCTCGCACAGTGCCATGGGTCGCTGCCTATGAAAAGGCAACCAACATACAGCTAGCCTTACGGGCATGCACGACACCAGATCTGGTAGGGTCGTATTGCAGACTGTATTCAAGGAACAATAACGACCTTATAATTTTGAGGACACTCGCAAAATTGATCTGTCTGCAGCCGTAACGTTATAACCTGAGGATGTGGCCTGATCCATATAATACACTTCAATTTCCAGTGGTACATACAGTATATTGGGTGGGCTTCTGAAATGGCATACAAAATTGAAGTATAACAGCTACTAGCGCACCCTGTGGTTAAAAGTGTGTGTAGTATAGAGGGCACCACGGTACAGCTGTTGTTGCCTATAATTTTCATTGATTCATATTCAGATCAATCTTGCTAAAAGTTTCACAGATGTTATTTTTATACACGTAGACCCTAATACATGTAATTTCCGTCTGTTGCTTTGGATCATTCTGAAAAGTGTTTTGAAATAAAGCAGTACTGCCACTGCATGTATTAGCATGGCAACATGGGGCAAAAGGCGAGTTTATATTATCTTGCCAGTTTGAAAGTATCCTATCCAGGATTTTACCAAATCTAATTGAAAAATTGGCAGCAGATAAATCTATAAAATGGGTACTATTATAATTTATACTTTCTGAATTTTGAAGGATAATGAACTTTTTTTTAGGATATGCAGACATAAAAATATGTCTTTGAAACATCTTCAAACGCAGACGGTAGGTCTACACTGGTACCTTGAAGGCCGAAGCTTTTATTTGTCTTAATGAGTGTTGAGTACTTTTTTATGTAGGCCTATCTGGCTTCCCCTAATTAGTAACATGTGAGTATTCTGGAAATTTATGCATGACGAAAAGCATATTGTTATCCAATTATAGTAACGTCAAACGTACTTTTCCTTTTCTAGTTGACAGTTACTCTTTTAAGAGTTAAAACCAATGTTGCTGACTCAAATCAAAGTGTTTTATAGGGAACGTCTGTCTTTTAGGTAAGGAACTAAAATAATATTTTTGTTATATATTTATATAAGTTTAAAAAAATGAAAGCAACCAAAGCAAATGTAGATTTTTGGTAGACAGTTTGATATCACTGTCATGTCAAGAAGTACGAAAACAATTCTCTCTCTCTCTCTCTCTCTCTGTGTGTGTGTGTGTGTGTTTGTGTGTACACCTGACTGCTGTAAGGCGCCCTATAATAATCGACCCTTTCACTATGATGTCATTCTGGACATAGTGTCACAAAACGTCTAAAAACGTTAGTTGTCTAAAGTCAGTTACCTCACTCAACAACAGTTGAATTAAATCGTACAGGCGCGTTTCGCTGCAATAAGATTCCATGAAAAAAATCACTGCATGCTTACAATTATAGACAAAAAAAAACTGACTGAAGATTATTTGTGAAATAGAAAGTCGAAGTTAGAAATTAACATATGACACATTTTTAACACCTTTTCAATATTACAGCACGAGAACTGAGAGACGACTTCTTTGAACAACAAGATGGTTTCAGACAAGTGTGAAGATGAAGATGAAGCTGAAGCTAAGGTTGAGCCCCACCCCAGTATAAGTCTTCCAGAGATGGTGCTGGCTTCATCTCTGACGTCATTACCGCACGCGGTACAGAGCAACACAGAGCAAATGAGGAAAACGGCACGTGATTCTAGCCATTGTGATGACGTAGACAAGGGGTGGGCGTGGGTTGTCATGGCAGCAGGGTCATTGTCTATATTCCTGACAAATGGCATGTCCTACAGCGTCGGTAAGAATTTAGAATGCTTTTTGATGTTGACAGTCCCCTATCCGCCCTCACACATACAGGGACGTTTGACATACAGGACGCCAAAACTTAACTTTAACTTAAACAATACCGCGTATTAGGGATGTTGACAAAATAAAAACGTACACATTGTATAAATCATGCTTTTCTTTTCTTGGTTTTCCCAGGGGTGATGTATCTACCAATGCTAGAAACGTTCAAAGAGGGCGAGGCCACCACTTCTATGGTGGGCTCGGTATTCATGGGGCTCTCCATGCTAACAGGTGATTCATTTTCTGAAAATTGATCTTTTAAATGATTCATGTTTTAATGGGCTTTATGAGGCATAGCAGACACAAACGCTCTCAGCACTATTAACTCATGGTCATATGGCTCGCTCACTCGTTTCATCAAATAACGCACCTGTGAACCGTAAATGTGCATGGCGAGTTCTTTGTGCTGCGTATTATTGCGGATAATGCTGCGTGCTCTGTATTCTAACAGGCGCAATTTTGCCAGCATTCTCCATGTATCTTATATAATGCATAATTATGTCAATACTGTCTATATCTATCCCATATAAAGCGTACTTACCAGCATTCTCTATGTATTGCATAGTGTGCAATTGTCTGTATTCTTAATCTGTTCCATACAGGTGTATTTGCCAGCATCCTCTGTGACAAGTTTGACTGCCGCAAGACATGTATTCTAGGCGGGTTTCTGTTCGCTGCGGGGATGACCTGCAGCACGTTTGGCACCAGTTGTACCTATCTCGTCATAACATTTGGAATTATTGCGGGTTAGTTACCTTGAGGTAGTACTGGGCAATGTACGTTAGATAAAGGTATTATTCCTATGCTTAAAAACATCACCAATCATACAGGGCATATACTACATTGATATACTGCAAAACTACATGCTTTCAAATTCAGTCCTTATAAGCTATGAAACTCCTCAAATAAAAGTACCTGAAACATCATATGATATGGCGGTCCAAATGTTTGACCACATATTTAGAACCCAAGTATAAATTTAAAAATTGGTATATACCTGTACTATCGAATCAAAGAGCCGGGACGGTCCGCCCAATGACTCGTGAAAAGTAGGAAATTGCTTTTTTCTTCTCGGGAGAATTAGATATGTGCGCGAAAATCGCGAAAAGGATACCAGTTAAATGTGATTTATATTTCTGTTTTGTCNTTACTGCACTCAGTTTAAATCACGTGCAAGTACGTAGACATCGAAACAATTGCAATGGCTTTTTTCTCTGTACTACACTCGGTCATGAAATATGTATGTTTGACTTTACTTTCAGTTTCAGTTTGTCACCATTATTTGCAGTAAACAGTTATCGGGTTGCTCTTCTTATCTTCGTCCAATTACTCATTCACTTTTTCTGTTTCAGGCACAGGGATGACCTTTGCCTATACGTCCGTTCACATCTGCGTGTCCCATTACTTCAACCGACGACGGCCATTTGCACTCTCGGCTCTCCATACTGGCGGTAGCATCGGGCAGATCGTCTTTGGGCCTCTCACACACGTGTTTATTGATATCTACACGTGGAGAGGGGCGTGTCTGTTACTAGGGGCAATCAGCTTGCATCTGGTGGTAGCAGGTGCTCTGCTAAGACCTCACCGGAACGAGTATCTTCACAAAGAACGCAAAAGGGCGTCAATACTGGACTTCGGACTTTTTAAAAACATTCCCTTTGACTTGTTCCTGGCAACAGTACTTTTCATGTGCGTTGCCTTTGGGATGGTGTATCTTCATTTCCCCGCGTATTCAGTTTATAACGGTACTTCGGAACATATGGCGGCCATGTTGTTATCCGTCATAGGGATAACGAGTATGTGCTTAAAACTTTTAGTAGGTGGCGCCATGAGCCACGACTCTGTGGATATCTGGACTGTTTTTACCATATGCAATACAATCACAGGGCTACTGACTGTGTTTTCGCCAGCTTTCATGAAGGGTTTCTCCGGACAGTTGGCCTTTGCGGTCTTATTTGGGATGTACACCGCACCTTTTGTGATTTGTACGAATTCCCTTGCGGCTCTGTACGCGGAAACTAGCCAACTTGGGTTTGCCATGGGCCTCTTGGCATTTGCTTCTGGTATAGGATTGTTCGTCGGACCAGTAATAGCAGGTAGGCCTGTATATACAATAAGTTATAATGGCCATTTGAAATATAGAGGGGGAAGGATGGCAGGTTTGTACGACAAACAGACAGTCTATAACATGCTTGCCGCAAACTTATCCCTTTTCCAGCCTGGCTTGTTTGGATAATACCTTGTAACAGAGACATGTGAGGGAGAATCCCAAATCATTTGTCTGCAGTAAGCAGCACTCCACCTTCGTTCATCTTCTCCAACAATGACGTATTTTACTTCTAAAGCTTTAGGTGACCAATTAATTGGTTGTAAATATGCCTTCGGATGACTAATATAAAAGACACGGTGGATAAAGATATGTCTTCTTTCGTGCAAGAAAGATTGGCATCTCGCAAATAAATTGCCTTTGCATTTTATCTGTGTAGCTCACAATGTATTATTGTGATACTGGATTAGGCTTGTCATTTGCAGGCGTTGTATACGGCAGGACAGCTTCGTACGCCCCAGCAGTGCAACTGGCGGGTAAGTTTATTAGGATTTTACAAAGCAAAAACCGCCAAATGTATAAAATATGCAAAAAAAAAAAAAAAAACATAAGGTTTATTCCTCATAAAATAGTGAAAATACCGAACAGGCTTATTAAAAAGCCTTGCAATATTTTTTTGTCATGCAAAACACTGCGGAATCTTTTGAAATTAATGCGTGGAACCATTTTCTTACAAATCAAATTCATGCCAATTTGGTCCTACTGAGTAAAATCGAAATTAAACTTTTTTAGCCCATCTACTGAAGCTATAAAATTTTACCAATACATATACGCCTAACTCAACTCTAAAGCAGTAATAATATCATGCCATTTTTTTTTTTTTGAAAATTACATTGTATTTTTTTATTTTGATGACGTAACCCTCTGCTCTGTGACAGGTAGCTGTCTGCTGGCTAACACCGTGCTGATGTTTCTGGCAGCGATATTTTCACAGTTAAGGGCGTCAAAGAAAGATCTGCAATCCCCTGAGAGCAACATGGATGCAGAGGACGAACAAACATAAGAAAGCCACCTTATTTCTTTTCATCAGTTAACCCAAGGGCACACTGATTAAATTTCATGGATTATATCGCCTATTGATTTTCGCTTGTTTTAAAATAATCATAATAATAATAATGCCCTCGGATCTCTGGTACTGGCTGCTGTCACTGTTTTTGTCTATTCAGAATGCGGCAAAAACTTAGGTTATCTTCTTCCGCAAAACCTGCTGAATTTGTTGTAAAATTAATTTCTGCACATGCACATTGCAGGCAAACGTAGGTGCAAAGATGGCGCCCCCGTCTTCGTCAAAATACATAAATATAAAAGTACACGGGGCGTGATTGTAGATTGGTATGCAATCGACATTGGCGAGGGAGATGCCACATTTGCTCAACTTTACGAAAAACTGGCGGAGGCGAGCGACTATCGCCCATAAAACTTCAAAGACGTCCTGCCAGAGCGGCCCACACACGTTCCTTTTGCAACGACGAGAGCAATGGGTGGAGAGTTGAGATATACCGGTATGGTGGCCTAAAAGTGGGTCTTTTGTATTTTCAATTGTTTTTATAATACAGAGATAAAGCAGATGAATTCTGACTTTTCAATATTCTCAGTGCGAATAAAACCATGTTATTTGTGTAATACACTGTGTTCTGTGGTTCAGTTTGTATTTCTATCTCTGCATATATTTAATTAAGCAGATTTTTTTCATCCTCTCGCGTAAGTTTCGGGATCTCCAGAGGATGTCACCCATAAAATCAAATCAGTGTACATAGCCAGCTGGGGATATTCAAAGGGTGTGGCAAATGTTTTTGTTGTATTACCCGTTGATGTCTGAACGTAGAGAAAGCCAGTGCGTTTCCCGAATTATGAATCACAAGGCGATCACGGTGAAGGGTGATCAACCAAAAGCGGTTTATTTAATCGGAATTATTGGGATCTTTTTCCAGCTCTACGTCATCCACAGATGTTGTGCTACCCGGTCTCGTTTCTGTGCATTTGACCTTGACCTTGACTAGGAACATGAGTAAAGTACTTGCAAGAAGACTGCCACCTAAGACAAAATGGAGACAGCACTAAGCTTAGCAACATTACCACAAGAAACTGTCTATAAAAACATTAAAGAGAATGTTCCTGACATTATTTGGTCTTAAATAGCACTTACCGCGCAAGAAGGGATACCTTTATGTATGCACCACAAAACAAGGGAACATTTTGGTCGCGTCAGTTAAGCACACATTTTGTGTAATGTTTGCACAACTGCTTCACTTCACTTTCTAATTAGTGTTAATTTCTCTCCATATTAGATAGTGTATACTATGTATATGTCAAATTTTATGGGTATGTCAAATTATAGTCAAACATAATACAAAATGAGTGCATTACCTATGTCGCTCAAATGTTCACTTTTCTGTGAAATCGGCCAACAAAGTACTTTTTTAATTACAGATCTAACATTATCTACACTACAGACTATTTGGGCTAATCACTGCATGTAACCTTCGACTTATACCAGCAAATTAAATTAATTATATTTTTCAAACCGTCTCAATATACCGAGATGTTATTTCAGAGGCTCCATTGGAAACGGTTGGCGAGTGAGAGAAATAAGGGATAATCTTAAGAGAATATCCATGGTTTTTGAAGCCTTGTTTTGTGCAATAAATAACAGTTGTAATTTACAATTTAAATTGTATTCACCAGCATACCTGTATATCTGCACCAAAACTAAAAGATAACTTGCTGTTAGTGCGATTAACACATTTTGGTGAAC